GATTCACGTCAGTTACGATCACCGTTAAAATAACTATCTAATTCGCTACATTGATGACAGTGTTATTTCGTAGCTACAATTACGTTCAATTTCAAAATGCACGCACCAGATGAAAAAATATATATTTAACGCATGTCTACGTTGCGTTCTTATTGAGTTTGATATGTTTCTCATCATGAATGAAATTAATTATAACCACACGGTGACACTATCTCAGCACATGGTTCACGCATAGTTTTCAACAGGAAACAAGATTTAAAACATTAGGATGGATTTACTGCGTGACTTTTGAAACTCTGTAAACTTATATATGACTGACTTGACAATCGCGGAGGCCTTGTTCTGCAAGAAACTTTTTTTTCTAGCATTCGATGAAAAGTTTTATGAAGCGAACTCATACTACCTGACTTTTTCTTTAACAGATATTCAGTTTATACAATGATATAAATTGGTAAATTCAATGACATACGTGTTTTTGTTCTAATACCAGTAATTTTAGTTTACTTTTAAAGCGCAACTTTGAATGTTTATTTATTTATAACTCTATGCATCTTGCCAGTTTTGTCGATACAGTTTATTTTATTACTTAAAAAACGTGTATAAAGAAAGATAAGAGCTTCTTTGTGAAATGATTCTTTGTTAATGTCGGGTTTGTTAAAATATATTAATGAAATATTATTAAATGAGATAATATGAATCTTTCAGTTATTGTGTTAAATATAGCGGTCACTTGTCACAATCTCTTTCAACAGATTATTTATTATTTTAAAACTATTTAAACAAATAAAATGAAAAAGTCTAACATTAAGCAGCCCCCCTCCCCGTGTTAAATATAGCGGTCACTTGTCACAATCTCTTTAAACAGAATATTTATCATTTTAAAACTATTTAAACAAATAAAATGAAAAAGTCTAACATTAAGCAGCCCCCTCCCCCAGCTTACAACACTATGAAATCGGGTTTCGATACCTGTGGTGGGCAAAGTACAGATAACCCTTTGTCTAGCTTTGTGCTTAACATTGAGCAGCATAAGACGAATTATAATTATTGAATTCTTTATTTCAAAGAATTGATTTGAAAACCTGTTTCTGTCATTATACAATGCATTATTATTTTGATCCTAATTTTGTTTCAAGTTTTTCTGTTGAAAGCACTACAAACTTTAAAGATACATTTTCACACTCGCTGCATGAGTAGTTTACATTTGTATTTGTAGATTATGAAATGCAGAAAGAAAATGATAGAATTAATGGAGGATTTCTTGACTTCAGGGACTTGAACTATTTTTAATTGTACTGAAACTATGTGGTTCAGCGCTAAGTCTGAGGGTTTATAACGCCAAAAAATCGGGCTTCGACACCCATGGTTGGCGGAACACCACAAATAACCCACTTTGTTCGCTTTTTTTAAAGTATTCATACACTCAGATCGTAAAGGTGTGTTCAGATCTGGGACGTAGAATTTCCAGGGAAGATTACCCTTTTACTTAATGGCATAGGCAAACAAAGGAATGTGAATTAACTAGAAACCCATGAACCATCCAGAAAGAAACCTGTAGTAAGTCATACCTCAGCCGCGGTAGCGAAGTGCTGTGTCAGTGGTAACAGTCGTTCACGTCTCCCAGGCAGCAGTAGCAACAAAATCAAGAAATACAAAGTTTGGAAATGAGGCCAACAAGGTATGGGCTCACCAAGATAAGACGTTTAGTCATACCTCCTGTTGAACCGTCGCATACCTCAAGCAGATGGAGGATAAAACGAGTATTCATTTTATTCCATAGGAAGACATATCGGTTAAATCGTTGAACGCGGCGTTTATGGAATTGTGTGCGATCGAACTGTTGAAATGAGCGCTGGAAAAATTAGCTTTCTTGTGCACTAGATCAGTTATGAAAAGTTGGCGGATAGGAGAGACGTGCTTTGGACATGACAACCTTACGACGGAGCCTTTTGTAATGGAGACTACCGTACAAGGCTATTGTCAAGATGCATGGTCGTCAAATAGAACAGGATTTCTTGAATATTTTACTTCGAGGCTCACCTTAGTTATTTGGTACAATAATTAAGTCAGTTCATGAGTCGTTAGTTTAGGGTAGTCACAGTTGCCCCGGCTCACGGCGGTCCGTAACTGCGGGTCTCACGGCGGCCCACCGGTTGAGAATCACTGAGATAAAGCAAGACTGGACGAGGTGACCTGGACTGTAACGACGTGATGAGGCTCCAAAATTGCTTTAAGATAACGTACCCATCCGTCTGTCTGCACACCAACACTTTATGAGTGTTTTATCTGAAAAATAACTATTCCAACAGAGTGTAAGATTTCAATATTATAAATAATTCAATTTGAAGTATTAAGTTTAACTATAATCTTTTCATGTTCCATAACATGACACCTAACACAAGCCAAAGATCAATGAAACATGTAGGTTAATAAAAAAGGAAATCAAAATAGTGTATGTGAGAAGAATACGTTATGTCTCGAACTAATAAAAAAATTCATTATAACTTTCCGATAGAAACTACTTAGAATGTAGCCAAAATTCTGACCAAAAATGTTCGTTTTCAGTTTTTTCCACGAAAATGAAAATAACTAAAATAACAAAGTTAATAATGAAAATAGAAGATGTCATAGCTCAATGAGAGAGCACCCAAGATAATTTTTTTTTCTGTAAGCTGCGGAAAACCAGTTATACTTCACAAGTTAAAGACTTCAACAACTATAATTTTCATACTAGCTTATGTAGAAAGAGTCTGCTTATAAGAATTTCTTTTATTTCTGTAATTAAATCTACTTTTCCGCCCAGCATTTTAAATAAAAACATCAACTTTTTCAAATAGCTAGGTTAAATTCAAAATCTGAATAACGTTGAGTTTTATAAGCTGACGTACATTTTAATGCATTGGGAAATAATAGAGTACCCTGGTGGGTGACAAACAGAGTGAGATCCAAGTGCTGTTCCCACTTCTCGAGGTACTCTAGGAGTACATGCCAGGTTTGGTGATAATAGGTCCAGTGGTTCGTCAGTTATAAACGGACACACATGCACAGACTTTTGTCAAATAATGAGTTAGATTATTAAACGCAACTATTTTCTTTGAAACTTAAACTGTGTTTCCTGTCTCAATTGTATTCAAATTAGGCTATAATATTGATTAAAATATTTTTTTTTTCTGTTATTAGTATATTTGGTTTTTAATTGAAGCAATGCACAATCTGTAATATTAAATTGTAGATCAACGTTACATACATATATCTCTTTTTGTTGTTGTTGTTGTCTGTTTGCTAGCCAAAACACAGATAAGAAACAGATTTTGATATGAGGAACACGAATACTTGAGCGTATGTCCATAAAAATAGGTAATGATTCTTATGATTTAGCTCGTTCGGTGCAAATATTTTCATTTACAAATTTTTCATAATATTCTTGCAAAATATATGCTATTTCCTGGCCGACACACACAAAAAGAAATTAAGGTTATTCCGTATTTCCAATAAAAATTTAAAACAGTATGCATCTTATTGAAAGAATATTTTAACGTTTTTCAATTGTAGAAATGATATTGCGACACTTACAAGAAAAACAAAATTGTGGAAACTATAAGGGCATTAAAAAAAAAAAACTTAACTTTCTTGTCATGGGAATGTCACCAGTCGATCGGATAGCTACAAGTATGAGACTCTTATCTTCGTCTTGAGATGGGTATGTATCAAATTTGAGCGATTCTTGTTTGCCAGATATTTGATCAGACGTAGTCAAGTAAAATTAATATAAAAACACTTTGCCTCCGGTATCGTCAAAACTATTGGAAAACACTGTAAGCTATTTGCTTATAGCGATAGACGCTGGATAAATGTATTTGATATAAAGGTCTATAACTTTACTGAGAAACGATGCATGTGAGTTGGTGTTTGTTTTCCCATGTTTATGCGTTATATTATATTACATGCATTTGAAATACTTGTATAAATACAACCAGCTAACAATGAAAGTTTGTTATGTGTTATTGTTTTTAATTTCGCGCTAGCCGTCCCTAATTTAGTAGTGTAACACTAGAGGTAAGGCAGCTAGTCATCACCACCCACCGCCAACTCTTGGGCTACTCTTTTACCAACGAATAGTGGGATTGACCGTCATATTATAACACTCCCACGGCTGAAAGGGCAAGCATTTTGGTGAGACGAGGATTCGAACCCGCGACTCTCAGATTACGAGTCGAGCGCCCTAACCACCTGGCCATGCCGGGCCAACAGTGAAAGAAAATGATATTATTTCTGAATGACTACCCAATTATTAAGACCATGGTGAAGAAGTGTTTATCACCAGAATTTACAAACTTTCAGATTAGCACTTAAAGAAAATTATATATCTAACAACGCTCTTATTATTTATTTCATTTGGTAGATTCACAAATAGCCTGACAGCTAACAACAGTCAACGTGTTTTTCTGTAAAGTAACCACACTTGTGAAGTGTCTAAAATATACAATTTCAGTTGTATGCATAATACTTGTGAATATTAATAAAATATAAAACAAGAAATATAATGTCATTTTATTGTATTGTTTCCTTTTGTCTAATGCAGTTTTAGAAAACGAGTATGTAGAAAAGTGGCTGATGGATGATTTTTATAGTCTGAAACTTTGATCTTTAAAAGGTTATGATGGACATAGAATTATAACAGCACGACATATACGTTAGCAGATGGTATAACTTTCTATGCATTTCATTAAATGTTTGAGTCTGATTAAATCCTATCAGTTATCTCTAGTCCTGTCTAGTAGAATTTTCCAATTAAACCAATAGAAAATCTGATGAGCTATAATGTGCAAGAATTAAACTCATTTTATTTACCTTGCATTCCTTACGTCGTAACCATTCAGAGATTGTAGTTTAATAAAAAAAAGATATGTTCAATCACGTCAAAGATAATTGGATTTAAGGTGGATAATTTCTTTCATGATGAAATCTTTACAAAATTTGTCTCTTTTTAATTTTGACAGGAACGTCGTCAAACTGGGAAGACTGGTGGACATACGACGGTATATCTGGTAAGAGCTGAAGGAACCTTTAAAAGATATATTTATCTCTTTCTACTTACTAGGTGCTAATGTTCTGTTACACAGTCACTATATTACATTCGTTTTAGTTCTCATAATAACAGCATTGTTGTTTTTGTTATAATAGCAGCATTGTTGTTTTTGTTATAATAGTGGCATTGTTGTTTTTGTTATAATAGTGGCATTGTTGTTTTTGTTATAATAGTGGCATTGTTGTTTTTGTTCAATATATACGCAATCTTACAATTGTATGTGATTATGAGTTATGGATATGAAATTTCACCCGACAGTCCGATGTTTTATAAGTGTTTTTAAGTGTATAACCAAGTTCTAACCGTTGAATTATTATGCAAAACAAAAATATACATTTTGTATATTATAGTGCATGAAGACGTTAATGCCTGATATTATTACATACATACTTCAATGACGAAAAGTTTATAATCGTGATATTAAAACGAGTAACCAGAGCTTTAAGCTTTTAGGTAAATAACATTTTTCTTCGTCGAAGACGGGGCTCATGCACGCTTAGACGACTTTCAATACAATAAAGCAGAAAAAAATTTTCCTTATCTCACAGAATAAGTATCTGAGTGATTTAACCAATATTTGCCGAACAACAATGTTGATATACTTCTATAAGACGTCTATTTTTCTGTCTATAAACATATATAAGATTTACACAAAGTAACAATAAAGAAAAGGTAAACACTAGCACATTACTAAATGTTGTTTGGCTATAATGTACTTAATAACTGAATTTGTATTATTGGCGATTAACCAGTAAAGTAAATCCTTAGAAAGCCTAACTTAGTATAGTTCAAAAGTTAATGTGGACATAGCATAATCCAATCTTCCTGGTGTGAGCTCACTCTTTTCTTGGTCAAGTAAATTACCATCAACCATTATCATCCTGTAAATACAACCATATTGAAAGGATAAGTGTCTATTTTTTCTACCACCCGATCCTTATAAATTACCATCAACCATTATCATCCCGTAAATACAACCGTATTGAAAGGATAAGTGTCTATTTGTTCTACCACCCGATCCTTATAAATTACCATCAACCATTATCATCCCGTAAATACAACCGTATTGAAAGGATAAGTGTCTATTTTTTCTACCACTCGATCCTTATAAATTACCATCAACCATTATCATCCCGTAAATACAACCGTATTGAAAGGATAAGTGTCTATTTTTTCTACCACTCGATCCTTATAAATTACCATCAACCATTATCATTCTGTAAATACAACCGTATTGAAAGGATAAGTGTCTATTTTTTCTACCACTCGATCCTTATAACTTACCATCAACCATTATCATCATGTAAAGACAGCCATATGAGAGGATAAGTGTCTGTTCTTTCTACCACCCGATCCTTATTTTGTACCTTTTTAGAACGCGTTTTTATTAGTGTTTTTATCATGCTTGATGGATTAATCAAGAATGTAATATAATAAGGATCGGGTGTTTCTACGGTCTGGTCAGTGTTGGAAATTAATCTGATTAAATATTCATTGTTTTGTAGTGATGGCATATTACCACGTCATCTATGTGTTGAAAAGATGATGATGAACAAGTCCCTCAGGATAAACTTAGTTTGACTAAGATGTATTTTACCGTTTAAGTAAAAATTTACCAAAAAAGAACTTGGCATTAGTTTACACAAAAAGAGAGAAAATGAGCGATGTGACGTAGTTGGTGGGGATGATTTTTATTTCAAAAGTCATTTCTTAGTAAAAGAAACATATCTTAGTATTTATTTTAATAATATATTAATCATGGATGAGTTTCGAGTATAAACTACAGTTTTTATGAATGCATGTGTACCAGGATCTCGCATGTGTACCAGGATCTCGCATATAATCATAGTTTACTTATCTTTTATACAATGTTTATAAAACAGGTTGGATGTTTTTTTTTTTATATGTGTCACAAGAAACATATAGTTACAGTTCTTGTTATATAGTGAAGTAAATAGTATCACCGAACATTCTTAAAATTTTCCCCTGCGTATATATTTTTCAAAGGCCCGTTGTAAGGCAAAAAAAACAAAAAAACAGAAATTAAAGGATCATCTTTATTAACTTTATAAACTGACGTCACATATATGGCATCTGTGTTTCATGTCCATTTAAACAGATTGCGTATTTTTCTCTAAACACCAAAAATTAAATTGCCTTGTGCGTTCCACGTAAATTTAAATTTGTAAAAATATATAATTTAAACAGCCACAGAGCCTTTCTCTAACGTCATTTAGCGAAGTGAACTACACGGTTGAGTATGTTATATTAAAACGATTTTAAGTAATCAAATTTTCAAGTCACATGACAAACATCCGATATAAAATCGCTGGGAAAAGGCACGTATGAGAGTTTCCTTTTGACATTGTTTAGTTTTTTGTAGGTAGCGAGGTACTACCGAAAACTGATCACTTTTGGAAAGGGTATGTAACAGATTCTGTCCGGCGAAGAATAGTCATACAACTCAGATCATAAGGATATGTTCAGATTGAAGATTTAGAATTTTGCGATAGTTTAATAGCTATGGCCCCCAATGGCACAGCGGTATGTCTGCGGACTTAATTCGCTAGAAACCGGGTTTCGATACCCGTGGTGGGCAGAGCACATATAGCCCATTGTGTAGCTTTGTGCATAAATTAAAAAAGCAAACAAACATATTTTTCGATATGCTCATTACTGTTAGCAATACGACACAAAACATGTTCTCAATATTATATGATATAGTGTCACACCGGAGTCACATGTGTGAAATAAGACAACATTGTTCTAAATTCATAATTTAAACGATGCAGCTTCGGTGATAAGATTATATTTCAAGGAACACCAGACGTTAGGTGAAAGTCAGCGAATATAACAAACAAAATACATTACAAAATCTTCAATTTAAGTCCCATAACAAAGTAATTGAGAAGTATAATGTAGCAGAATGGAAGAACAAAAATCAATATTGAGTTAAACAAAGCTTCGAGTGTCTCAAAATATCTTATAAAACGATACTTATCGATTGATAATAATGTAGACACAGATGGTGCTTCATTCTAAGTCTAATAACAAATCTGAGACATGAATATTATTTGTGTTTTAAAATAATTAAGAATTAAGAAGATTTTGCTTTACGTGTTCCGATGACAAATTTTGTAATGTTTATGAATGCATTAATTTTGTGAATTTTCTTCAATCTATATTATCAACGAACATCTATGTATCTATTTTAAAATAAGAGCGCTTTAAACTTAAAAAAAAATCCAGCAAAAAACAACAAAATTTCTGGAAACAGTTAATCAAAGTTATAAGATTTCATCATATATTATGCAGCAGTAAAGTGTATGTTACAGCTTTCACTAGATCTGATGATGATATATTGGACTTATTCTGTTTCACGTAATTTCTGTAGCAGTGGGAGTTTCCTGTCACATACGAGTTTTGTAATTTTGATCAACACTAGCGATCCCGGAAAACATAAATACCGAAAAATCCAACCGCGACTGCCAGGATATCCACAGAATTGATTTTCAAATCGACGTTTACTAGTTGATTTCAAAGGTTGTGCACCAACATCGTTGTTTTTTTCCTAGCATGTTCGGTTTAATTTTAAACAAAAAAATTGTGTCAAACGACCTTCCATTTGTAATATGTGTAAAAGATGTATAATTTTACAAAGAAAAAAAATTAGCAATCGTATCTCATGCGGTAGTATTTACCCTTAAGGACACTGTCTGCTTTAGATTTAAACACCTAACAAAATTCACCAAAACATTTTATACTTGAAAAGTTATACCAATAAATGTTAGTGATGTGTTCTACAAACTATATTGGCTTGGTTTGTTTTGAATTTCGCGCAAAGCTACACGAGGGCTATCTGCGCTAGCTGTTCCCAATTCAGCAGTGCAAGACTAGAGGGAAGAAAGCTGGTAATCACCACCTATCGCCAACTCTTGGGCTACTCTTTCACCAACGAATAATGAGATTGACTGTAACATTATAACTCCCCCACGGCTGAAAAGGCGGGCATTTTTGGTGGGACGGGGATTCGAACTCGCGTACCAACTAGAAGCCCATTTTTATGTTATAGTAACATGTATCTTTCATAACGTATTATGTTCACTGTGACACAATCGTGGAACACAATATGTTATATTACTTTCACTATGCTTTATGGTTTGAATAACCAAAGAATATGTGAAATTTTGAAAGCAGTACAGCTGGATCAAAAACATTTAAAACTGAATTTAGAGTATATGTAAATAAACCCTACAAAACTGAAAAATGTAATTACAAAAAGGCAAACTGGGATAAATACAAATTAATATTAGATCAACTACTACCAAAAAATATTATCCTTACTGCAACAGAGCAGACGGAAATTGATGCATGCTGTCAAGCAATTACCGAGTGCCTTACCAAAACAGCTAAAGAAACAATACCAACACACAAACACTTAGCAATAAATCAAGCATGACAACCACACACACCACTACTAAATATTATCCTTACTGCAACAGAGCACACGGAAATTGATGCATGCTGTCAAGCAATTACCGAGTGCCTTACCAAAACAGCTAAAGAAACAATACCAACACACAAACACTTAGCAATAAATCAAGCATGGCAACCACACACACCACTACTAAATATTATCAAAATACGATGCCAACTCAGAAGACAATACATATAAAACAGAGACCCAACAATTAAGACACAAGTAAATGGTATAAGAAATAAAATAAGAGCAGAAGTGAAACTTTTAAAACAAGAACAATTGGACTTCTTCTGTTCACAACTAAATGACAAAACTGAATCGAAACTATTCTGGACCCATCTAAAACGATTCACAAACGGTGAAAAAGCAACACGTAAATATCCACCACTAGAAATCAATAATATAATACAAACAAAGATAAAGCAGAGGCATTCAAAGAACTACAGAGCATCTTTAAAACACATCACGAATACTCACTC